GCGGGGGGGGGGGGGGGGGGGGGGGGGGCCTGCTTGTCCTGGCCCTAAAACACAACCTCGGAGGGCGACTCTCACTCAGGGTGGAACACGCTTGTCCCACTTCTCCACCACCGCACTGCCTGCTCAGCTCCCCCAGTCAGGGGGCCGTAGGGAATGAAGACTAAGTTTTTCCTTCCTTGGTTAGGAAGGTAACATCATTAGCAAGGAAAGAAAGGGGCTTTCGCCCGGCTGGCGTGGCTCAGTGATTGAGCATCGAACTATGAACCAGGAGGTCAGTTCGATTCCCGGTCGGGGCACATGCCTGGGTTGTGGGTTCGATCCCCCGTGTGGGGCGTGCAGGAGGCAGCAATGAATGATTCTCCCTCTTCGTTGATGTTTCTATCTCTCCTCCCTTCCTTCTGAAATCAATAAAAATATATTAAAAAGAAAAAAAAGAAGAATGCACTTTCTCCTCCTGCCAGAGAAAATACTGTGCCCCTCAGTTTCTCATTTGTACAAGGGGGGTCCTCCCAGGATCACCTGACAGACCGTCTGCACAGGGCAGGGCACGCTGTGAAGAAAGGGTGCTTATAACGATGCCCTGGAACTTCAAATCAGGACCAAAAATGAACTTTAAATAACAGGAAACAGGGCTGTGTTCAGGATAATATCCTTTGATTCCTTTATGGGTCTTGTCTTATGATCACGAATTCAAAATACTGTGACTTCTGAGGAGACACCTAACCTGTGATTTTCATGCTGCACAGACAAATGCAGCAGCCGGGACTGGGGCTGGGCTGGGCTAGGGGAGCCCTGACAGGGCAGCAGCCCCACCCACAGCCCCCAGTGCTCAGGATGGGTGGAAGCATGGGCCCCCGGGCCGGGGAACAGAAAGGTCCCTGGAAAAAACGGGGATGGGATGGGATGGGGGTGGTCATCTTAGTCCCCCTTTGAGAGTTTGATGAAAACCATTAGACTTTCTAGTTCAGAAAAAGTATGTTCTTAGAAGCTTGATCAGGTTCAGGTTTAATTATTTTGGGGGCAGTAATAAACCATAAAACCCAATTTAAAAAAAAGAGCCTTCAGCCCAGCTGGCGTGGCTCAGTGGTTCAACTTCGACCTATGAACCAGGAGGTCACGGTTTGATTCCCGGTCAGGGCACATGCCTGGGTTGTGGGCTCGATCCTCAGTGTGGGAGGCAGCAGGAGGCAGCGATCCATGATTCTCTCTCATTGATGTTTCTCTACCTCTCCCTCTCCCTCTCCCTCTCTGAAATAAATAAAAATATATTTTAAAAACAAACATTCATGCATGCATGCAAAGTTCTACATACAACTCCAGGTTAGGGAGAGGTAAAAATCTGGCAGAAAGGGCTCTGACCACCTGGTATTAGGGACCACCCCCCACCCCTAAAAAGAGAGAGAAGACCAGAACGCGGCCTGAGACCACTGACCAGGAGTCGGGTGTCCCTGATGACGCAGAGCTGCTTGGCCCACTGCCCCAGCCACTTCTTGCGCCACAGGAAGGCGCAGATGCGGGCGTCGCGCATCAGCTCGATGCTGGCCTCGGGCGAGGGCCACTGGTAGGGGGCCGACTTGCCCTTGCTGCCTTCATCCTCGTCGTAGGACTCGTAGGAGCTGCTCACGGCCTCTCCATCCTCTGCAAGGCACACCCACTAGGTCACATCCCCGAGTCCCCGCAGGGCAGGGGATACTCCCAAACATGCTGGTTTGGTCAGGAGGGAGGGAAGCAGGCAGCAGGTGGGAGCAGCCACTGGCCCCCAGGCCCCAACCCTCCCGCCTCTCTTTTGCCCTTGAACCAGCCCCACGGCTGCTGACCACAGACCAGGCAGTTTCCGGGCCCAACCCCGCTGAGCAAGGCGGCTCGGATGCTGCCTCTGGCCACATATACAAATAACTTAAAACCAGAGTCCTTCCCTCTTCCTCCTCACATCCTGCCATCTCGGACTCCAGAGAAACCTGACGGGACACCTCCCTCAGATGGGCCTCTGCCTGTGGAGACGGCCAGCTCCCCACTCGGGACCTCTGTCTCTTCCTCTGTGCGGTGGGGACCTTCCTGACCCGCACGCTGTCATCTTAGTGGCCGGGACGGAGGGGTCGCCCTCTGAGCCCAGAGCCGGGCACATGGCAAGCCTCCGACAGCTACCGGCCCGTCCCTGGTTCTATCCTGGGGGCAGGGAGGCGATGTGGCTTCTGGGAAAGAAAAGGCAAAATACAAAACCGGGGCAGGAAATGCTTTCTGGGGAAGGGGCCATCTTGCCATTCCTCAGTGCCCCCTCCTAGTCATGACCTTTAAAAAAAAAGCCATCCTCATCCTCCACAGACCGCATTCTCGTTCCCGGCCACTGACACTGCCCAGCACAAGCCTAGCTCCTCCTACTTATCCCCAACCCATACACTTCCGCCCCTCTGTCAACGAGCCAACCTCACATTTTCCTTCTGTTCGAAAGGGTCCCAAAACTCATCAAACGCAAACTGGACCCAAATCTATGCACACTCCACACATCTCAGTGTCTGCCCCGCCCCCCCCCAACACTCTGCAAAATTTGCTCTATTCTCCCAGCCTCGCTGTGCTATTCGAGGCCAACAAAAACTAGGTGAAGAAAAATAAATAAATCGGAAACATCCCCCAAAAAACAAAACTCGGAGAACACCAGGATCCCTGGTCCAATCCCTAGCTCAGCACAGGAATCCTATTGCAACCCTGACGCTGCTGCAGCCTCTGCTTGACTTCCCCAGTGGACAGGGAGCTCACTACCTTACAACTGCTTCCATTACTGAGCAGCCCTAACAGAAGTGGGCCCCTCATCTCCTTCCCTGTGACCGCGACAGACATGTTCTGTGTCCTTGAGTCAGGATGGGTGAGGACTCCTTCCCATGAGAGGCACTTCATGGGCCCCTTGTCGTCCGTCCCCCAGGACCCCCCTCTGTTATCTGCACAGCCGGGCTCCTGCACACTAAGAACACATTTGAATTTTATTATAGGAAACGAATGAGCCCACTGCCATCGTTCTTCTAGCCACAATACCAATGAAAATGTGTTTTAGGTTATTTTACTCTTTCTAAAAATAACACTCTAAGTCTTCTCATATCAGTTTTCTTGAAAAGCAGTGTGGTACTACTTCCCTTCGTGGCTTAACACAGATGCTTCACAGTTCATGGTTTTATACCTGTTAAATAAGCAAGGATTGAAAACAGCGGCGCTCCCCCGCGGGGGACCCTGAGCTCGCCTATGGCTGGTGGCAGCGTCCATGAACCCAAGCCTCTCAGAGAACAGTCTGTCAGCTTGTTGTTTCAAGAGCCATACAAACACCCACACCCTTTGACCCAGTAATCTCGGTCCTGGGAGTTTATCCTAGGAAACTAGTTTTTTAAAAAGGAAGGAAGGGGGGGTAAGGTTACATGCATTAAGATATTAATTCAAGCAATTTCACAGTCAGCAGGAGGAGAAGGGGGAAGTATGATTTCATCCACTTAGGAGCAAGCATGCAAGTGCAGTCAATGAAAACTACGGACTATTCTGCAACTCAAACTCGATGAATGCGACAGCCCGAGAAAGCACGCTTACAATGTATGTGCACATAGACCAGCACGGACGGCAACGGGGGGAATTCACAGTAGTTGACTGGGTCTGCTGGTAGGATGAGGGTGATTTTATTTTGAAAAAGTCCGCCTTGTCAGTATTGCAATAAGTGAGATAAGAAGAATCAGGCATTGCCACTGGGACTCCCTCAGTAACAAAAATTAAGGCGGGAGGCTGCAGAGTTCAGGGTGAAGAGATTGGCCAAGTCCCCCGGCTGTTTTGTGTTTGGGGTGCTGCCCCACGTGTTCCAGGGAGAAATCTAACACCTGTCCGTCCACCTCCGGGGAGGGGGGCGGGGGAAGGGGAGCTAATTGAGAAAAAAGCATATCATAGTGCCTCATGCTACCTGGAGCAGCTTGGAGGAAGTTTAGGGCGAATGGATTCATTTTATTTCTCCCTAAAGGGCAATCACAGCACCGCCATAAACATAGGATATTCTTAAAACAGACTTAGCTTCCAGGCCCCCTCCCATCCCCCGGGGTGAACAGGCGACAGGCAGGATGATCAGATAATCCCATCCCCGTTCTGGCTGCGCCCACTGTGCCTGTAACCTGTCCGCGGGGAGAGGGCAGAACAACCAAGAAGCGCCGAGTCCTCTGGCCACAGGCAGGGGTCTACGGAGGGATGGCACCCGGCATGCGGGACCCAGGCGGGAGGACAGGGAGAGGGCAGTGGCCACGCCAGGGGCATGCACCCCGTCTCTGGGAGCCAGGCAGCAGGCACGGGGTCACTGGCATCCCCGCTCTGGGGACAAGCAGTACCCAAGGTGATGGTGGCGTAAATGACTCCTTCGGGCACCTGCACCCATCTGGGGACTCCGGTGGAGGGGGCTCTGCCGGAATGACCTGTGTGATGGCCAGAAGCACAGACAAGGGCGAGATGGAGAGAGACAAGGTGAAGAGAGGGACAGGCCACGCGCGGACACCGAGAGAGACCCGGATGAGGCAGAATGGCTGCCGGCCACCAGAAGTTAGTGCTTTCTCATTGCAGGTGTGGGCTTGTCGGGAGAGGCCCCGGGCCGGCCACGGACTTCATTTCCCAGCCCCCTCACATCCACAGGCGGCTCGTCACCAGGGCGGAGCGTGGGTAGAAGCAGTGCGTGTCACTTCTAGCTGGCGCTTCTCAGAAGCACATTGGGGTTTCCCCACGCTCTTTGCAGAGGATTCTGCGGCCTCAGAGGCGGCCGAGCCCACCCTGGCAGGAGCTGGGGAACCCACACTAGCTGCTGACCCTCGATACCACACTGACCTGTCCGTGGGCGAGAGCAGATCGGTGTTGTGTTACCAGGAACTGAAAGGGGGTAACTTGTTACAGCAGCTGTCATTACCCCAACAGGAGACATCATCCATGAAGGAGCGGGTGTCTTGGGCAAGCAGGACAGACGCTACTGTCCCCTGCACGGGCCACCGGCACTTACAGAAGTGTTGCTGGGAGAGAGGAATCTGACCCCGGGGGCAGTGTGGGGACAGTGCTGAGAGCAGGACAAGAAACCGAGACACCCGTCTTGCAGGAAGTCAGCGACGTCGCTTGCTTTTGGCCAATGAACTAGAGCAAAGGGCTGATGCCCTGGGCCAGTCCTCCTGCTGTGACCTGCGTGTCCACCACTCACACAGGTGTGGGGACCACGGCCAGGAACCGAGAGCAGGCCAGGTACGTCACAGGTGGCGCCCCCTCTGCAGGGCAAGTGTGGCCAGTTCTGCCCACGTCACCCTCAGCCCTTGTCCTGGCAGGAGAGGAAGGCAAGCTGGCCTCTTCCCAACCCTCCGGCTGCCCGTGGGATGACTATCCGCCCCCATCTTGGCTAAAACCAATATGAACTCACAGCCCAGAGACAGACACCAGAAACTCGGCCCTTCTGACCACTTGTTTGCGTCGAGATGTAGTGTCTGCCCCGCAGACAGGCCCTGGGAGCGTCGGGGAGGCAGGTCCTGGCCGGCACGTCCGGACCAGCACGTCCCGGCCGGCACTGGCCACACCCAGGAGCACCCCAGGCTTAAGATACCACAGAGGTGAGGTGCCCACCGCGGTGAGTCACTTCTTCCTCCTCCTCCCAGACGCAGCCGGAGCTACACGCCCACAGCTTCGGCCTGAAATCACAGCTCGGCCGGTGGCTCCAAAACATCTCACAAGCTCAGAGGGTTCAGGCTACGGGACATCTGCCCACCACGCCGGCCTCTCCGAGGAAAAGAACCTCAGACCAAACAGGCCCTCGCCTCCCACACACAGTTCCTGGGCCGAGGGCCGCAGGGGAGCGTGAAGACAGAGACTCCGACCCCCCGGCTCCGAGGGCCTGCCCGTCTCATCCCTGGGCCCTTCTCTGTGGAACCAGCCACGCCCCCCGCAGTTCATTCCCACGACCAGGGGCCTCATCTCTGACATCCGCAAACTGCTTTATGCTTTCAAAGACCTGTTGCTTACAAGGGAAGGGGGTACGAAGGAGACAGCTGCCGGGGTCACAACCATCTCTTTCTTCCAGAACCTGGGGGGGGTGGGGGGCGGTGTTAAAGAATTCCTACATAGCCCGGCCGGTGTGGCTCGGTGGTTGAGTGTCAACTTATGAACCAGGGGGGCATGGTTTGATTCCTGGTCAGGGCACATGCCTGGGTTGCGGGCTCGATCCCCAGTGATGGGCGTGCAGGAGGCAGCCGATCAATGATCCTCTCTCATCACTGATGTTTCTGTCGCTCCCTCTCCCTTTCTTTCTGGAAATCAATAAAAATATTAAAAAAAAAAAAAAGAATTCCTACACCAAGAGATCGAGAACCTAAAGGCTGTGACTTCCTGACTCCTAACACACCTCTCTTCCGACACATTCCTGTGCTGAATCCAGGCACATCCAGGTGGGAACACCCAAAGCATCGGGCCCCTAAACCAGCTCGCTGTGGACCATCCCAACCCCTCCTTGCAGGCGGGGGGGGGGGGGGGGGAGGCGCTGCTGCAGGTCTCAGCTCCCCACCTGAGCAGAGGCTCAATGCTCTGTGGCCAGTTCTCAGCTTCAGCCACGCCCTCTGGCAAGAGCAGCCCAGGCTGTCCTTGCTGCCAGCACCCATCTGTGCAGGAAGCGGTTTACCCCCACCCCCACCCGAGTCCCAGCCCTGGCCCCGGGATGTACCATTGAGGGACAAGTCATATGGCTCAGCCTCTTCATAGTAACCCTCTGGAGACTCGATCTTTGGGATGGAGAGCTGTTTCCGTTCTGGAATCTGTGGTATGAACAAATAAAACATCTTTCAGATACGATACACTGGCAACAGCGCGGAATTAACCCTTTGGGTGGAAAGAGGGGGAAGCCCAGAAGAGAAAACGCTCAGTTGGACGTCAAGCGAGTTGGGAGGGAGGGCTCGGACCACCAGGACCCCATCCGCTGTCTGCACTGTATCCAATGAGGGGATATGGGCACGTTGCTTAACTCGCGAGACCAGCTTTCTCCTCCTCGGAGTGAGGCTCAGACCCCCACCGCACACACCAACTACCCTTACACACGGGACACCCAACACGCAAAGTCCGGAAGGTGTCAGGCTGTGTGGTAGCTAAATAGAATATACCTTCTAAAAAGACAAGGACTGCCTGGCTGGTGTTGCTCGTGGTTGAGTGTTGACCTATGAACAAGGAGGTCACCAGTTTGATTCCTGGTCAGGGCACATGCCTGGGTTGCAGGTTCCATCCCCAGTGTGGGGGCCTGTCTCTCTGAAACCAATAAAAACATTAAAAAACAAAAAATAAGACAAGGACTAATCAGAGGCCCATTGAGGAAAATGACCAGGTTCCCAAGGATTTAGAAACTTTTACCATAACACGTTCAATCATTCATTCAGCAAATACTGGATGGCTCCCGCATATTAGCTGCGCGGGACACACTCCTGTGGTCAAGAAAGCCTTAGCTAGTGAGTGTTCACAGCTCCGGATCAAGTGTATCGTGAACGGTGCTGTAGTAGACGAGGTCAAAGTTCGGTGGGAACCAGGAGGGTGTGAGGAAGATTTAGGACCAAGGAAGGATGCCCAGAGGACGGGACCTTGGAGCTGCATCTCAAAGACAACCCCGAGGTTCGTAGGTGACATTGGGGTGGAATGTGCACCAGTGGGGGAGAGAGCCCCTCGTTACACTGACACACAAGGAAGGATGCCCAGAGGACGGGACCTTGGAGCTGCGTCTCAAAGACAACCCCGAGGTTCATAGGTGGCATTGGGGTGGAATGTGCACCAGTGGGAGAGAGAGCCACCTCGTTACACTGACACGATGGCCCATTTCAGAGGTCAAAGGAGCAAGAGATCCTGATGTCCGGGGTTAGGGATAGAGCAGTATTCTTATCATCATCATCATCATCATCATCATGAAGATTAGGAACATGAAGTGAAGATGCAGAGAGATGTGCCTTCAAAACCTGCCTGCAGGGTCGCAGGAAGGGACGGGAGAAGGCCACCGGCTCCGCAGGATTGGCCAGAGGTCGGCAAACTTTTTCGGTAAAGGGCCAAACGGAAAGCACTTTCGGGGTTTGCAGGGTCTCTGATCTGAGCCTGTCAAGCCAGCTGATGCAGTGCAAGAGCACCCGCAGATGATGCAAAGCTCAGCAAGTGTGGCTGCGCTCCGGTAAAACGCCTCACGGAAAAGCGGGTGGCTGCGGATTTGGCCGGTTCTGATAGAGATCAGGGCTGAAGCTGGTGGCCTGGGGTGGCCCGATGGCCTGGGGTGGCCCTGCACTTCTGAGCAACCTGCCCCAGAGAGCCCTGTGGGAGGTTCCTGGGTGGGGCTGGTGCATCTGGCCAGGCCAGCTCTGCAGACTGACGGTGCTGATGTCCTTAATGCAGTGGCCGCCCACCCAGAGCAGCTCACTTACTGTAAAACTAACAGTGATGC